TGTTGTGTGCCCCTGACCTGGATACTGAGGAATCCCAGCCTAGTGTGGACAGCTAATATTAGGGTTATGACATCTATGCAGAAGTAAGTGTTGGCTTCTATTTGACTTTTCTGCCCCATCGTTTCAGAGTGCTAAAGCTTCTCTGGCCCCTGAGCCTTACATCAGAATATTGGACACCTATTGTCCCTTGGGTGGAGGTAGGGTGGTAGAACACAATCTAGAATGAAGCACACTGGGGCGCCTGGGTGGCGCAGTCGGTTAAGCGTCCGACTTCAGCCAGGTCACGATCTCACGGTCCGTGAGTTCGAGCCCCGCGTCGGGCTCTGGGCTGATGGCTCAGAGCCTGGAGCCTGTTTCCGATTCTGTGTCTCCCTCTCTCTCTGCCCCTCGCCCGTTCATGCTCTGTCTCTCTCTGTCCCAAAAATAAATAAACGTTGAAAAAAAAAAATTTTAGAATGAAGCACACTGCCTGGCTCGGGGATGTTAATTGGGTGGAATCAAAGGTGATGCCTTGCTCTCACCTGTTTCGATTATGGAGCCCAGACCTTATCCATACCAGGTAGGTGGAAGAGGAAGGAGGGAGGGCTGCAGGGGTGCATGGCATGAAGCCAACTCCTAGGAGGTAGACAAGTAAAGAGGGGGGCCCTTATTATAGCCGTGCCCTCCTTGCTCTAAGCTCAAGTGGTAGGCCCTAACATTTGTAGGCCTGAGCAACAACACAAATGAAGATCCACTTACCATGTAGCTAAATTTGTATTAAGACAAGCTAATTGCGGATGATCTAGCCTTCTATCACGACAAGCATACCTGCATCATCACCTGGAAGGCCAGGTTTGAATTTAGACTTCTAGCACTCCTTGAAGTGCTAGACTTCAAGTTCTGTGCTAGAATGTTCCCCAGTCTTGGTCCCCAGCCCACTACCTGCCTTCTCTCCCCGGGTGGCAGACGCACCTCACACTGCAAAGGGCTTTGTATATACTTATCAACACTCCAGCTTGCATATCCAAACTCCATCCCCCCAGCTCTCCAACAGAGAGCTGTCCCTTAGTCATCTCTCGGGGCTAGGAATGTGCACAGTCTATCGGGACTCAGAGAAGAGGGGAGGGAAAGTGGGCTTTGCAGGGGATTCTGGGGTCCTATGCAGAGAAAGGGCACATCCCCTTGACCTGCATTCCATGGGGAGGGTCATGGCAGGGCCTTCTGAAGTGATAGTCCCGGGCACTGGGTCTCGCCCTCTTGCAGTGGGGTTTTCCAGGCTCTGAGCTCTGATAGCAAAGGCAGCTCCCAGATCCTTCTCTGGCCTCTCCCTATCAGCCCCACCCTGAGAGGCGAAGGATAAACGAACAGACCAGTACAAAAGAAAAATACTGTTTATTCCACACAACTACATCCCCATTTTCCCCTCCCCACCCCTCACTCCAGCCCTCAGCAGGCTTTGCCCCATGTCAGGGAATAGTCAGAACCTCAGTGTCAGAGCCTGGCTTATGAGACAGGAAGCGAATCTAGGCATAGGAAGGTGATTGGGTTTCCAAGGACACAAAAACATCAGGGACTCTCATTCCAAATTCAAGTGTGTTCCTCAGTCCATTTGGCCAAATTCTTTCCCGGGCCCCCACTAGATAAAATGCTATGGATAGTGCAGGGTCACAGACCCCAGCTGACTCACCAGGCCATAGAAATTTTGGTCTTCTCCCATTTTAAAACAAAGCAAACGATGCCACACACAGACAGTTAAATCACTTCTGCCCTTTCTCCTGCCTTTCCATGCCAAAGGAGCCACTAAGCTCTGGGTTATGTCCAGAAAGGTGCTTTCCAAACAAAATTCATATCGACACCCCTCAGAACCTGATGCTATCAGAAGCAAAACAGGGGCGCCTGGGTGGCTCAGTCGGTTAAGCATCCGACTTCGGCTCAGGTCACGATCTCACAGT